AGATCACCACTGATATTGAAAGAGAAATAAGTGGATGAGATGCAGGCCCAAATCCAATTGACAAAGGTGGGGTTGAATCCCATTCTGAGCATGACTTTGTTGACACTATCCCACTCAATTCGGTCAAAGGCCTTTTCCATGTCCAACTTCAATAGCATATAACATTTTTTCCCTGAGGTGTGTCTGTTGAGGAAGTGGACACTTTCCTGAGCAATCACCACATTGCAGTAGCTGTCTCCCTGGGATGAGGCAGCTTGATTCTCACTGATACAGGCAAAAAGGCAGGGCTTTATTCTAAGGGACAAAATATTGGCAATAACCCTGTAAGCCACTACACACAAGCTGATAGGCCTATATTGCTTCAAAGTTACAGGGTTCAAACACTTAGGGATTAGAGAAATGACAATGTGGTTCCAGCTTTTGAGAAGTTTACCAGATTCAAAGAAGCTAAGAATGGCTTTACAAAAAATATCACAGATAACATTCCTGAATTTTTGAAAGAAGAGTAGGCTTATACCATCTTGTCCAGGTGTTTTACCTGGATCAAAGCTGAACAGTGCCTCCTTAATTTTCTCAATTGTAACTGGTGCAGTGAGGGAAGCATTTATGTCATTAGTTATTGTATGAGGGATGAGTTGAAGCAAATCATTTTCCCCTGTGGAGCCTTCAGAACAGAAAGCTGCTCATAGAATCTGCAGATATGGAGTTGGATGTCTTCTTCAGTAGAGAAAACTTGATTCTGGTCATCCACAAGGTAAGAAATTTCATTCATCTTCCTTCTCTGCATTGTAATGGCATGAAAGTACTTGATGTTGGAATCTCCTTCCATGAGCCATTGGGATCTGGCCTTCTGTTCCCAATATATCTCCTCATCTTCATTGATTTTGTTCAACCCTCCTATCAATCTGTGCCACTCTGCCCAGTCCATTTGGTTTCCCATTGTACTCATCTCCTCAAGTTTCTGTGTGATAATCTGTTTCTCTTTGATCTTCTCTCTTCTGAATGTAGAGCTCCACTTCAATAAGGACACTCTGGTTGCTTTCAGCTTTTTAGAGAATTGAAACATTGGGGTGCCTGATTGCTCCATGGACCAACCCTGCTGCACTGCTTCTTGGATGCCATCCCTTTTCAGCCATCTTTTGTCAAAAAAGAACCTTTTAACCTTAGCTCTGCTGATTTGAGGATTGTCAGTTAAAAGCAAGAGTCTATGGTCAGAGGCACTCTTGAAAAAATTTTCCACCACTGCATGTTGGTTGCTCTCAAGCCAATCATAAGAGGCAAAGATCTTATCTATCTTTTCCTCAATAAAGCCTTCAGCCTCTCTGTTGTTGCCCCAAGTGAATTTATGGCCAATTTGGTGCAGCTCCTGCATACCCATTCTAAAGATAAAAGCATTAAACTCAACAAATTCCCTATCTGCCTTCCTTCTACCCCCACTTTTCTCACAATGATCACAAATATCATTCCAGTCCCCCCCACAATCCATTTATTTTCCCAATTAATTCTAGCATTTTCAAGAAATTGCCATTGCAACATTCTCTCCCTCTTACAAGTGCTAGCATACATAAAACAACCCAAACATCCCCAACACCCTCAGGATCATCTAGTTGCAGATGAATACAAAAAAAATTAACAAAAGACTGCTTAATAATAATATCCTTCCTCCACAAAACAAGCAACCCTCCACTAAGACCAAGGGGGTCTACTGCAAGCCATCTATCTCTAAATCCTATTTTATTACAAACTGATTTCACAAAATTATTTGGTTTTTTAGTTTCTGAAAGGAACACAAAATCTGGATGGTGGAGCCTTGAGGTATCCTTTACTTATGAAATTGTAAAGGGTCCATCCAACCCTCTACAATTCCACATGATAAGCTTCATTGGTCAAGTGGGGGCCACTCAAGGCTGGCCACCCCCAGCTCCAAAGAATTGCTCTTAAGCTTTTTGGTACCTCTCATATCAGCATCTGTATCTTGTTGTCCAGCTTCTTCAATCACCAGGGCCCTCTTTTTCCTTTTTGATGTAGCTTCCTTTTTCTCAGGGATACTTCTCAATGCCTTGCCACTTGGGTTTCTAGCAACAGTTGATTTTCTGGTCCAAACCTTTCTTTTTGGGGCTGTGTCAAGCTCTTGAAGACCCTGGTCAACAGTGCTAGTGTTGTTCTGCTCAGGGATAGTGTCCATCAGTTCTACTCCTTTGACCATTACTATGCTTGAAGTAGCACCTTGAAAAAGGTTTGTTTCATCATTTGCAATACAGATCTCCTTCCCTTTTATAAGGTTACCATCTTCTGGAGCAACATTCTCAGCAACACTGACTTCTCCTCATATTTCTGCTCTCACTCCACTGCCTGCTGATTTGAACCCAGTGTCATCCTCTTGTGGATTGGAGCCTGTTCCTTGGCCTGTGGTGTGATTATCATCAGGGTGACTCTCTGGAGTGGTAGCTGAGTTTGATTTATAACCATAGTTCCCATCAGTAGCTCTAAGCCAATCCCCATACTTTCCTTCTTTTAGGCACCCCTTAGCAATATCATCATCCTTCTTATTACAAGCTCGCTCCAAATGATCAATTAGGCCACATTGGAAACAAGCATTCACAAGCTTTTCATACTGAAATATAGCTCTAATCAAAGTGTCATGGAGTTGGAGTCATGCCACCCTGGGTAAAGGCTTGGTAACATCCACCACAGCTAGTAATCTCAAGAAGTTCCCAATTTGGCCCCCTGCTTTGACCACAGATGCCGTTTTGACTTGCAAGAACACTTTCCCAACTTTTAGCCCCACTTCAGTGCATAACCAATTTATAGGAATGTTACTAACTTGGATCCACATATGTAACTCTGAGAATCGTTGATGCTTCTCAGTCATCCCTTCCTCCCATTCAGCTAAGATGAGGTATTGGTTTTCAAAGACCCAGTTAGTCCCTTTCATCACCTTTGATTTGTCTGCGATACTACCAAATAAGAACTGAAAAATATATGTTCTAAACTCACGAACCTCCATTTGATTCTGAAGTTGCCATATTGACCCCATAGTCCTTCTTATGCCGATAAGGCTTGCCCTGCGATCACCGACTATCTTCCCAAACAAGCTTCTCTTGCAATCTGAAGCACTGATTTTGATATCATCATCCTTGAGAGCAATTCTTGTTTTTCGATTCCAAGAGCTCTATATTTTGTAATCGACACCCTAAATCAGCCGTGTCTGGAAATGCGCTTGATTCACCAGAGACATCAGATTCCATATTTAGCTGCCAACCCTAATTCGCGCAAGCAGGAGAAAAGAAAAACACCTTCCCCAACCCCCAATGGAATTAAACTCCTCCTCAAGAGAATTCAAACCTCCCCTCAAAGAGAATTCAAGCTCCCCTAAGAGAGAATTTTCAAGGAGAATAATCCTTCAACACAGCATCTTGTCGTCAGCACTCTTTTTTCCTTTCCTGTTTTTCTGTTCAACTCTATGAAAAAGTGACAAAGATTAATAGCCGCTAGATGATCTAGTTCAGTAGTATATCATCCAACGGTCACTTTAAAAACATAGCAAAATCTGCTTTTATGTTATACACTGCACAGCAGA